GTGGATATAAATAAAGATAGGGAAAATTAATCTTTTACTTTTTCAATGTTTTAACTTACTTATAACTCAGTTATTTAATTATGATTTGGTGTAACTCAATCTCTCAACTTTTGACTCTCTTAGTAAACATTAGAAAATATTGGAAAAAGCACACAAACATTTAAATGGCTAAAAATCTATAACCATTTTTTTTATGGTCTAAGCCTTCTAATACTTCTAAGTCTTCCCATCTTTTTGAAGAAAAACTGGAATATTAATAGATTTATTTTCATATCATTTTCCATTCTTATTCAATTTCCACAGCCAAATCGTTTGAAACGCTTCAAAAAGATAAAACTTGCTTAAGCAACAAATTAAAGGATTTTTTTTTCTAATTCAATTAGAGGTTTTCTAGAAATACAACTTTTAGCTTTTGAAATAAGAAAAATATCGTTTAAGTTATCATTTAGACTTTTTATGTTGAGTTCGTATTATAACAACACCAATGACTTGTGGCGTTACAGATAAACTGCACACAATCATATAAATCTTGAAACAATTATTTGTGGGATGTTTTTAATTTCAAACGAGAATGTTGCAAGTAATTAGCTTTTGAATTAATGAATTTCTCGAGACCAGAGCTGCCATTGCTTTTCAACGATCCATTAAAAAAAACAATAAGAAGATAAGGGAATAAAAGAGAAGGAAAGTAAATTACACACTGGTGAAAAAAAATTAATTCATCATCTCAGAGGGATGGTATATGATGACTTCCACTTTGTGTTGTGACCATATATTGTTGATTTTTCTTTTTCATCGTCTTCTAATTTTTTTAGTGGCAGCTTCTGTCTCTTGAGAAATGTAATCCGAAAACTACACTAAAGTTCATGTTAAAAATTGTCAGGAAGGTCTTAGAAGTTGATTAACCTCACCATAGTGAGTGGGGGAAACACGCAATATATGACCAAACAATGTGATGTTTCATTTATTAACATTAATAATTAATTAAGAAAGTTATGGAAGTCATCAACTATACTATCCCAATAACATGAATTTTTCCCCTTAGCGTGTAATTTACTTCTATGCCCCCCCAAAAAAAAAAACACGTCCTCTCTAATTATTTTAAGAATGAAAGGACATTTGCCTTTGGACTATTTCGCGGGTAGCATTAATTATTAGCATGAACTATTAGCAAAGCAATATTGCCCATTTAAGAGTCAAAATCATTACAGTATCGCCCCCTGTCTCACCACATTAATGTTGACTGTTAATCTTACATTAATTTTAGATTAAAGAGAATTTTTACATTAATATAAAATCTAGTTTGAAGATTAAATTTGATCATGAGTATTATATCTTAATATACTTTATATCTTATATTTATTATTTTTCTTCCAATTAATTTCTGTAACTTATAATTTAATGTTTTACAGAATGTTTGTTATAATTAACTAATTTATTTGACTTTTTTAATTAAATCAAATTAGTTAAGTAGGTCTTATATTAAAGATTGGATGTATTAATTATCCTAGTCATAGATTGAATCATACCAAGATTTATATTTTCATGCTTTTCTTTCATATTGTAATTTTTTTCTGAACATAGAGGAGGACGGACTTGTAATAAGGGGGGAAAAAATAACTCACATGCTATATAGTTCATATTGTATCACTAATAGTATTGGGCCCAGTCTGTATCATAACTCTCTACTCACTAATCCTTAATTAAAATAAGAGTAAAATACTCTAACCTTCCTTGTATTTTGTCTTAATTACACAGATTTTTTTTCTATTCTAAAAACATACACTCAAATCCAAACTTTTAACTCCGTTAAGAATATTTTAAAAAGATTTTTTTAATTCAAATTTATCTTGAAATACTTTCTATTTGCTAAATTATCTTTCATAATACTAAATTCTAAAATCTTGGTTAAAACTTAAAACTATATCAAAGAATTTAAGATTTTATCCTTTACCTTAATTTTATTTTTAAAAATTGTTGTTTGTTTAATGTTTTTATCATATTGGGCCAAAAAATTAAGTAATTTAGTTAATGCAAACATAAATTTAAATGATTTATATAAGTTTCCAAACTTGTATAATTTATATTATGTGATAAGAAAATATGCATTCAAAATATGTTTTTAGCCACTTAAAAAAAAATCTTAAGTTTTAATATTTGATGAGGAACTAAAATTATATAATTCTATAATATAATTGAAATTAAAAATTTTATAACATATTAAAAATCTTGAAAATACATGTATTATAATTATTTTTTGTTGTATCAAAAATTATTTTTTTATAAATATAAATGTTTAAATAATATTTATGTTGGAGAGGGATATTTTGGTCAAAATAAAAATTTAAAAATCAAACTTAACGGTCAACTAGTAGTTGGATGGATGAAAATTGAATCTTAAAAATATAAGGGAGCATTGTGTAACATATATTTTAATTTGAAGGGAAGCTTATATATATTTTCAAAACAGAAGAGAGGTTTCTGTAATTTAAGTAAAACAGAAGAGTAGGTAATATATTTTACTCTTAAAATAATGAAATATTTATAAACAGAATTTTTACATTAATATAAAAACTAGTTTGGATATTGAATTTGATCATAAATATAATATCTGAATATACTTTATATCTTATATTTATTATTTTTCTTCCAATTAATTTCTGTAACCTACAATTTAATGTTTTACAGAATGTTTGTTATAATTAACTAATTTATTTAAATTTTTTAATTAAATCAAATTAGTTAAGTAACTCTTATATTAAAAATTAGATGTATTAATTATCCTAATCAACAGAGTCATAGATTGAATCAAACGAAGATTTATATTTTCATGCTTTTCTTTTCATATTGTAATTTTTTGCTGAACATAGAGGAGGACCGACTTGTAATGAGGGGGGGGGGAATACCTCACATGCTATGTAGTCCAAGTCTTGGATTTGATGTAAAATCCTCTTCGGGTCCCTCACTTCCAACTTGAAAAGATTTATTGTGAGAACATTAGGAACATTAAGAACATTTTTTTTTTAATTTTTACTATACCCCTTCAGTTATACAATCTAACACCAACATTTCCCATCTATAACATCTCCTCTTTATTTACACACTCATATATAAAATTTTCTAAATATTGAAGCCACCTTTTCAACTAATAATAGGACGTCATGGTGGATTTTTTACTGGGTAAAGAAAGGAGGACCATTTTATTGACAGAAAACAAATCAGCATATGTATTAACACAAAATTGACCAACTTTATTAATAGTAGTTGGGTCTAATGAAAGGAGCTAATTCCTCACAACATGGTTAATTAAGATTCAAATTCCGTTGAAAGAGATGATGATATTTAATGCTTGACAGTATCCTGAATAAGATTGCTTCCAATAATAGGATATATATACATAGCAAAAAAGAAAGAATGACTGACTTTAATTTGCATCACTAATAATATTGGTTCCAGTCCGTAAATAACACTCTATTCACTAATCCTTAATTAAATTCAATGAAATATTTATAATTAATTTCAAAATTGCTTTTGATCTCTTTTACCCTCAATTTATATATTTAACTAATTTAAATATTTTTCGTCATCGTAGAAAATGAGTTAATGTGACTTTGTAGAAAATATGGGATGGAGTACTTGAAATGAGCTGATGTTAAGTAGGCATTAGAAACATGCTCGTGTTGCTCTGCATCTGATTATCTGAGCGAACTTTGTTATTTAATGTTTATTGTATTAATATTTCTCTTGTCCTAAACATAAGATTTATTTTATTATAAATTATATTATAAAATGAATCCTAGGAGTAACTAAGATGTGATTTGAATATCTAGCCAAACATGGCATGACTCTGTTATTTGAAGCTACTCAAATAAACCAAAATGGAGCAGAGCATCTGAAGCTTCGAAATAGAATGTTATAAGATCCTCCAATCTTCCACAAATTAACAGCAAGTTACAAATTAATATCCAACATGTTAACATACATATAAATCTATCTTACAGATTACAACACTCACATGCCTTTTCGTTTTGATTGTTACGCTTTCACCTGAAATCTCAAACAAAGACGCATAATATCTTTTTATTTGGTTCAAACTCATGATCGAACTTTAGAGTAACAATCATATATCACATTCAAGACTATTTTCATCAAAGGTTCCTTAACAACATGAGACACCCAGACACGCAAATAACTATTATTACAAAATGTTCTCTTCTCACAATTCACTAAATCTAAGATAACAAAAGGGCATTCAGTAGGCTACGCTATCGGAGTCCTTGACCGTGCAAAACAGCAGCAAAGCTCCTTATTCCTTGAGGCAGAACTCACTATTTGAATCAGAGGAACGATCAGAGTAGGAATAGCTGCTATTTCACTTGCATCCCATATTGAAAAACAAACAAGATAAAACATAATCAGCTAAGAACAGAATTTTTTTAGGAAATAGAAGAAATTAAAAGGAAAAAGGAAAATACTAACAATATGTGAAAAGTTAAGGCGTCGCTAATTTATTACCTCAAGGGAGATCTGTTTTTGATATTCGACCGAATCTTTTGAACCAGAGGGTGAAGGCAACATAAAGTTGATCTTTCAAGTGATCAAACCATCGGAAAAATCTGTGTCTCCATGCTCTGATGAGGAAGAGAGAACCACAAATTCCCCAGAAGCCCACCACAAATCCAACCCCCATGCCAAGATACAATGACTTCAGAAAGCCGTCGTCTTCATCTCTTTCAGCTGGCTTTGAGTTGTCATGAGTTTCTTCTTTTTTGTTGCACTTCTTTGGAAGAGGATCTCCACAAAGTTCACGATTGCCAACAAAACTCCAGGAATCAAAACTTTGAATTTGGGTTCCCAGTGGAATTTGTCCGATGAGATTGTTGTATGAGAGGTTCAAACAAGCAAGAAAAGACAAATTAGATATGGTAGAAGGAATTTCTCCAGAAAGTCTGTTGTAGCTGAGATCCAGAGATTCTAAGTTTTCCAGGGCTCCAATTTCTTTAGACATCTTTCCAGTCAAATGGTTTCGAGACAAGTTTAAGGACCACAGTAGAGTAATACTGAATAATTCTTCAGGAATTTCTCCAGATAAGCTATTAGCAGAAAGATCAATAACACCTCTTGTAAAATATGCTGAAGGTTGGTAATCTAACTCCCTTCCCTTAGTAAATATGCGCATCATTTCACGAAGATCGAAATGTGAGCTGATGTTATTTGGATTTGTGATGTTGCATAAGCAAGAAGGTATAGATCCAAAAAGCTTATTATTAGCAAGCTCTAGTATCCGCAAAGAAGAGAGCATGCATATTCCTGGTGGAATATTACCCATAAATTGGTTGGTCCTTAATTTAAGAACTTCCAAAGATCGTGCCATATACGGATTTGGCAAACTTCCAGAAAAATTATTTTTCTCTAAAATGAGGTATCTTAAATTTGTCCAATCAAGCATGCCTGATGAAAATTCAGCAGAGAAACTATTATCACTCAAATCCAACCATTGAAGTCCCAATGAAGCAAATGAGGGAGGAACTTTACCTGTTAGCTTGTTACTCCCCAAACTAAGGAATTCCAATGATTTCCGATTGGTCCAACAATCGGGAAGTGCTCCACTCAAATGATTATTTGACAAGTCCAATTCAACCAAGTTGCTTTCTCCGTTACCCTCTAATTGGCACAACAATGAGAAAATAGATCCCGATAAGGAGTTATGTGATGCATAAAAATAAGAGACATTTGCTGATAGTGTGACACCGGATATGTCATCACCAATTAAGTTATTTGAGATATCAACATATTCTATTCCTGCTACAAAGTTCCAAAATATATCCTTATCAATTGTTGAAATCCCTGATGTAGAAATATCTAGTCTCCATAAAGACTGTTGTGTATATAGCCATGGTGGAACATTAGGACCTATGCTTATGTTAGCCATATACAATCTCTCAAGTTGAAATGATGGTACCCATTTAGGATCAAAGTCAAATGTGAAACTATTTGAACTTAAGTCCATTGATTTTAAACTTGAGAGACCGGCAAAAAAATTTTCTGTAAGAACACCAGCCAAGAAATTGTGCCCAATGTCTAAAACAGTTAAATTATGGAGTTGTCCCAAGGTTACTGGAATATTGCCGTTCAATTGATTGTAGGACAAGTCTAAGTAGAGCAAGGAAGAAATATTTCCAAGAGATGATGGAATTATGCCATGGAACAAATTGTGATGGATGTCCAAGTATTGTAACTGTTCAAATTGGCCTAACCAATCTGGAATTAATCCTTCGAGATTATTATCCCCTAAATATAAATATTTGAGATTTTGAAGATTGAGCAAAGACTTCGGCAATTGTCCATAGAAATTGCACTCACTAAGTTTGAGATCATAGATGTGATTGGTGATATTAAAGAATGAATCAGGTAATTTTGACTTCATCATGTGATAGTTCATAGCAAGATCAAGAACTTCAAGTGAGGTAAAATTGGCATAATCGAGGGAAGGAAAATCTCTTAATCCACATCGACTCAAGTGTAACTCAGAGAGTGAAGGAAGCATGGCTATATGCTGGAGCCATTTGGTATCATTTCCAATATCACTGCAACTAAGGTTAAGATATTTTAAAGAAGAAAGTTGGGAAAGCCAGTGAAGGTCATTTATGACTAAATCATCATTGTATGAAAAGTCAAGATAAAGCAGAGCAACAGAGAAGCTTGCTGAGTGATTGGAAGGAGTAACAAGTGATTGGTTGTGAAATTTGTGAGCATCAAAGGGAGGTTTGGAGATTTGGCATGGTGGCATACTCACATTTTTGAAGTCATTCCAACTCAAGTCCAAGTGGTTGAGGAATTCAAGTTGAAGCACACACAGATTAATCTCACCTTCTAAACCATAAGAAGAAAGAGAAAGCTCTGTGACTCTTCCGGTGATGTTGTCGCAGTGAACTCCCTCCCATAAACAGCAATCTTCTTCGGCAGTCCAAGAAGGGAGTTTGTTGTTTGGACCAACCACTCCTTGTTTGAAGATTAAAAGCAGCCTTTCATCATTTTCATCGCAACTGATCACCCTGTTGAATGTTGTTGCAAATAACAGAAACAACAAAAGAAAAGATATTTGTGAAGCGAAGCTCGCCATTGTGGTAAGTGAGTTCGAGTATGATGGCCTCAATGAAGTCTTTACATTTTATATGTGTGTGTGTGAATGTTTATAGACACACACGCGTATATAGGAAAATCTAAAGTAAACAAAAACTTAAATGCCTTAAAAAATTGATAACTGTTATGAATATAATAATATCTTTGTGGATGTCCATATATCTCCCTTTATCTCCTATATCTCCTATAATCTTTAAGATCTCCCATTATCTCTATATCCCACAATTATCTCATATTATCATGTGATCTGTAGATTCTATCAAAGATGTAAAGCTGTGCCTATAAATAGAGGCCATGTATAATGTATTGTGTACTCTTGAATGGAATGACAAAGACTCTCTTTTATCAATCCTTTCTTCCTTTGTATGATTCTTCTCTATTTCTTCTTTATTCATAACACGTTATCAGCACGAAGCTCTAACCAAGGTGCATATGATATACTTTTCTACCCCATCATAATTTTAGAGCATCATCTTTATTATTTTTCTAGAGTATCATTTGCTCTGTTCAAATAAAAATACCTTGAGCATCATATATATGGTGTTTCAGAGTATTCGTATTCCTATTCAATTTATCTAGGATAATCTAAGCCATTATATGGAATTAAAAGGATTATCTACCGTTGTTTTAAACATCGGGTTCCATGGCTATGATTGGGGATTTTTTTTTCCCCTTATATTTCTTATTGACTTAACGTCACTATTTTGATGGAACCCGAAGTTCCAATAGATACTAGCAGTATCCATAAAGATTTACCATCTAAAGTTAAATGGCCAGAAGCCATATAATTTTAAGTTTTCATCTCATTGTAATTAAATGGCCAGAAGCCATATAACTCAGATTTTTCATTCTTTTCAAATTAAATGGCTAAAAGCCATATGATTTTGATTTTCTATATTATAGCCAGAAGCTATACAACTTTGAGTTTTTATCTTATGGCTAGAAGCCATATATATATATATGGGGTTAATTCTCTATTTTTTTTTTTAAAATGACTTGAAGTCATATGTATTTGAAATTTTATCTTATTAAATAACTAGAAGTATTTACATATAAATTTTCTATCTTATGGCTAGAAGTTATATATATTTGATTACTGTTATCTTATTAAATGGCTAGAAGCCATGTAATTTGAATTTTCTATTTTATGGCCAGAAGCCATATATATAAAATTTTGTTTTATCTTATTAAATGGCTAGTTGCCATATAAATTTGATTTTCTATCTTACGGCCAGAAGCCATAGATATTTGAATTTTTTTTTATTTCATTAAAAAGCTAGAAGCAATATAATTTGTATTTTCTATTTTATGGCCATAAGCCATATATATATAATTTTTCTTTATTTATATATATCATATTGAATTTTCTATTTTATAGCCAGAAGTCATTTATATATATTTAATTTTTCTATATCTTCTTAAATGGTTCGCATTCATATAATTTTGATTTTCTATCTTATGACAAGAAGTCATAAATATTTAATTTTGTTATTTTATTAATTGGCTTGAAGCCATATAACATCAAAGTTTTATCTTATGGTCAGAAACCATATATCTTTAATTTTTTTTATTTTGAAATTAAATAGCTAGATATCATGTATCTTTATTTTCTTTGTTAAATAGCTTGAAGCCATATAGTTTTGATTATGAGAAGGATCATTATATGGTTTGTTTATAAAAGAAAAATTATGACAATTAGAATTATAAATAATGTAGCCCCAGAAAACTAATGACTATATAGTGAAGGATGTATTGGTAAAAGAGTTTATCTTTTTTTTATTTTATGTTACCTTTAATTAATTTGAAATTCAAGTTTTATTTTTATTTTATTCTCATATATTTTTCACATTCAATTTGATATTTATTAATATTATAATTTTGTTATTAGTAAATGGCCAGCAGCCATTACACTTGTGTTATTGAATGACATAAAAATAATAACTTATGATGTTTTTAAAGCCCTGAAGGCTTATAGTTTAAATATTAAGTGACACAAATGATCTTTAAAAATATATATAATTTTCAATATAGAGTCTTGAAGACTACTGACTTATAAATAGTCCTGAAGGTTTATGGTTCAAATCTTCCTAACTATATAGTTTGATTTTAGTCCTTATAGATTTTTTTTTGGTTGAATTTATAAATTTATGAATAAGTTTTGAAGCATTACATAATATATACAAAGAAATAAAGTTTTTGAATAATGAAATATCGAGAAAATATATATTTTGTTCAAAAAAAAATACTTCATATTTTGAAAAAAAAAAAGTATAACAAAAGTGAAATATACCATATAGTGATATAATAATATATTTTAGTTCCTGAAGAACTATATAGAGCATTTTTTTTTTGAAGAACTATATGTAATCAAAAAAATTGATATAGTTCCAGAAGGACTAATAATAAAAGATTGATATAGTTTCAGAAGAACTAATAGCAAAATGTTGATATAGTTCCTGAAGAACTAATAACAAAATCGATATAGTTCTTGAATAACTAATGTAATTCCCCCTCTTTTTTGTGGGCAGAAAAGGAATTGATAATGAAAAATTATAACCCACAAATATTTATATGAGAATATTTACTTATTATAGGGTCTTAAGGTGATAGCTCAATTGGATTTAAATCTATTATTATATATAAATTAGGAAGCATTTGGGTTTCCAAGTTAAAAATATGTTATTAGCTTACTATATATTATTCACTGTATTTGAAATACAGAAATAAGAAAAATATATTTATATGACTCACACTTGAGGGGGAGATTGTTGAAATACAAGTGAATCATGTTAGGTGGAATTTGTTATTATTAATATTAATTTCATTCCTTATATCTCATGTTCCTTTTGAAAAAAGCTCCAGAAGAGCCAGTAGCGCTCAACCTTCCATGAGTGCATAGGTTTCTACCATTTGGGTAAAAGATAAAAAACTAATGCTCTAGAAGAGCTATATCATTATTTATTATCCTGAAGATAAAATTTATAATTGATAACATATTCCTTATACAATATTAAGGAGAAAAATAAATAATATAACATGGTAACAAGAAGTTTACCAATAATTGAGAATGATTTTACAATAAACCAAAAGTTTATGCATTTATAGTTTGGCATGACCGGTCAGATCATCCCGGATCATAATGATGCAAAATATCATAAAAAATGTGCATTGTCATTTATTAAAGAACCAGAAGATTCTTTAAAATGATATGTGATTCCAAAATTTTTATGTGTTGTTTGTTCTCAAAGAGAACATCACTAGTTATGCTCAAAATCGGATCCGTACAGATTTATAATGTATCAGATTTATATATGGGCCCATTTAGACACCATGTAGACCAAAGTAATACTTTATAAGTGAAAGATGCATCTATAAAATGGTCACAGGTGTTTATGATCAACTTGCAACCTGAAGTTTGCAAATATGTTCAGATAATTACATCAAGTACATAAGTTCTTGATTATGAAATCAATACGATTCTTGTTGAGATTGCTAGTGATTGTTCCTCACGTTGCTGATAATTATATGCTTAGTAAAAGCCTCCATAAGTAGCTAGATTAGAGTTTATGAGAACAGAATTCCTACTTGAGTGTTGGGATGATTGATTTTATATATTTTTGCACATAAATGCATCAAGCCAACAATGTATTGTGAATTCTCCCATTATATTTGACTTTTGGTCAGGAGTCAGACATTTTTCATCTTAGAATATGCAATATTTATTATTCCATCGTAATAATGGACATAGGTGGATATTAAAAGTAAGTTAGGATCAATGTTGGATAAGAACCTCCTTATTCTTGTTTGTCTTTAAATGAAACAAAATAATGTTTCTAAAAGAGATTTATGGATTTGGGAGACCTACATTGCATATTCCCAATATGAGGGGGAGAAAATGTATAGCTGGAAAAGAGAACACATAGAATGTACTTTCACTATCAAATGTAGATCCTCAAATATAGTAGTATGAACTAGAAGTTCATGGAGTATTGCATTTGCAAAACATTACTAATGTCTGCCAGATGCAATTACTGACCCAAATGAGAATTTTTAATTCTTATATTCCGGCTAAAAATGCTCCTATTCTTGAAGGCATGCTAAAAGCATGATATTATGATCGGTTCCAAAAGAAAAGAAAAAGGAGCAAATGATAATGATGATCATACTAAGGAGGCATGAATTGCAAAAGGGATTAAGACATAACTCTTTGACCCTTGAAGAGGTTTAAGTGTCTGAAAGCAATAAAGAGATCTCGATATATTATGTCATAAAAGAAAACAGGACCGACAAAGGAATAAAATTGTCGACAATAATTTGATTGATGATATCACATGATCAAGTGAGGATCTTATATATAAATCTATTATGAGATACAGACAGAAAAATGATTGGTCAACAGAAAAGAAAAGATGCAACATTATAATAGGAGATTCGTGTATCTCAGGTGTAAGGGGTATTTGTACAAGAAAAGAGAAAGAGAATCTTGTGGTGAATTAAAATTTTTATGTATATTATCAATCTGGCAGTTTGATAAAATCTCATATGCGTCTAGAAATACAGTGACCCACTATGTAGTGAAATTATATGTGAATTCCATAAGGATTCAAATTCTTGTATAAATATAAACGATCCAATACATGAATAGATATGGATCATAATGTATAAAAATTCTTGAAGGATTTAAGTTTCTAGAAGTATACAATTATGTTCTCAAGAACATCATTGAAGTAAGTCTCTATATGAGACATATGTGGTTAATATCAACTGAAGGAATGTTGTAAACTTATTTCAACTTGTCTGTTTATGAAAAGATTCAAAATGAGTCTGTTATCGATAGTATTTATAATGATAGTATCACAACTCCTGATGATTTTTCAAAAACTGCAAATTACTTAAAGAAAAAGTTTGAAATAAAAGCTTTAAGAAGAATACATATGGATAAATCACATCCATTATGCGGATAAGTAACATCCATTATGT